CCTGCCTCATGCGGCGGCAACGATGGTAACTGCGCCCGGCCTCCTGCTTGCATCTCATGCCCCTGCTGCGCCCTCTGCGCCACCTAAGTATATCCTTTTAGTAGGCAACTGCAATTCTTGCAACAGATGCATACAGGTTTTTAGGTGCTCTTAGCTTGAAAAAAAAAGCTTATGTCATCTTTATCAGATGAATACTGTGCTGCCATTAAAAATTATGTTTTAGCGCTGATCAGTGAGGCTCAGTTGGTGAGTGTCATCCCATGTGCCAAAAGGTCACAGGTTTGATTCCTGGTCAGGGCACATGCCCAGGTTTGGGGTTCAGTCCCCAGTGAGGGGTCCTGGAGTGTGAGAGGGCACTCTGCAAAGTTGATGTCATACAGGGTATGGAACACAAACGCAAGTGTGAGGAAACCAGATTCGGGGCTGACAGTACCCCAGCAACAACATAACCTACGGCCGAAGGTGGAGTTGCACTCCCTCGCGAGGAATCTGGCTCCCTCCTCTCTGGTTTTGGGTGCGTCACCCAAGAACCGCTGCTGCCAAGTCACTGCAGCTTGGCAGCTCCTGCCCCCTAGTGGTCAGTGCACGTCATAACGACCGGTTGGATGGTAGGAGGGATACTTAGCATATTAGCCTTTTATAGACACACACACACACACACACACACACGCACGCACACATATATAGATGATTTGTTTTTCTTATTGTTGCTGCTGCATTCAGTGTGAGAGAGACACATTGATTTGTTGCCTCCATCATGCCTGATGGGCCGGGGTCAAGCCTGCAACCGAGGTATGTGCCCTTGACCAGAATCGAACCCAGCACCCTTCAGTACAAGGGCTGACACTTTATCCACCGAGTCAAACCGTCCAGGGCAATATTTAATTGTTTTTGATGCTATTATAAATGGTATTTTTTGTTGTTGTTGTTGTTAATCCTCACCCGAGGATATTTTTCCATTGATCCTTTAGAGAGAGTGGAGTTGAGAGGGAAAGACAGAGATAAACATCAATGTGAGAGAAACACATCGATTGATTGCCTCCTGCATGCACCCCAACCAGGGCCCGGGCTGGGGTGGAGCCTGCAACCAAGGTATGTGCCCTTGACCGGAATTGAACCCGGGACCCTGTGGTCCTCAGGCCAACGCTCTGTCCACTGAGCGAAACCTGCTAGGGCTGAAATTGTTTTCTTAATTTTATTTTTGGATTGTTCATTGTTAATATATAGAAATGCAGTTGATTTTTACATGTTGATGTTGTATCCATCAACTTTATTGAATTCGTTTATTAACTAAAATTTTTTTGGTGTGATATTGTTTTAACTGCGTGTGAATCTGCAATTATCTCAAAATGAAAAGTATAATTTGAAAAAAGACTAGTTCCTCTACGCATATAATTCTCCAAAATAATAGTGCAAAAAAGGTGTAACACTAATAATTTTTGGAACTCCACAGTTCCTCATGGAAAATATGTAAATCAGTAAAACATTCAAGGGAGAGAAAGAACATGGTTCATAGTTAAAAACATTGACTTTAGGGCTCAAAACTTGTCTGAAATTTAGTTATTTATTATATGGTTAGCTTGCTTATGTTAAGAATTTAGATTTTTGGGGGTTCCACTTGTCAGATAGGCAGATCAGATCTCACATCTGTATCGAACTCATGCTTTAATTGTGTGGCCGTGAGCATGATTGCTGAATATGTTCTTCTTCAATGGAGATTTTTAACCACTCTTAGTAGGGCCATTTTAAGGTCTTTTACCTAGCACCTAGAGTTAAGTAATATGTAGTGCTGGTTGAGTCAGCTTCACATTTTGGTAGAGGGAGAAGAGAGTGACAACCATGTCTGGATTAAAAAAAAATAACTTCTAACAGTTCACAGTTGAAAAACTCATCACTTAATATGTGCAGTTTTGCCTTAGGAAAAGATTCTTCAATTTACAAAATGATTAATAAGTGCTGCCTTTTATACAGTTGGTTTGGTGTGTTTAAAATACCATTTTCACAAATAAGACGTAAACAATTCTAAGGACCATGTCTAATGTGTGAGTCTAGAAATGAGTATTTCCATTCTAAGTACTTACCCTGGGAGGCCACAGTGATAACAATGATAATGTCATTCCTGAGGACATTTTTTCTCCCCACATTAAACCAATCACTGTATTGTTTAAGAATAGATATACATATGGTAAAAACAACAAATAAAAGCAAAGGTGAGATTAACCACAATTCAGGATAGAGGTTACTTCTATGGAGGATTGGGGGATTTGATCAGAGAGGGGAGCTCAAAGGCTTCAGATGTATTAATTAGTATCTACTTTTTCTCAAGTGACATAAAAGGGTAGATAAGTTTAATTATTCTTTAAATTGCATACATGGGAAATAATACTTTTGCATTGTATAACAGATCATAAAGGTAGAAAATAAATTAATGAAGTTCGTCCATTCTTCTGTGCTACTTATAACTCAAGCCAAAAACCTGGGAGTCATCCTTGACCACGTCCTCAACCAAATCCCATTAATTATCACTCCTAAATCTTTCTAATCTTCCACTTCCACTAGTCCAAGCCTCCTTTAACTGTCACCTGGAGCCCTGAAATCCCTTCCTCTCTCTTAAGGCAGTCAAAGAAACCATTTTTTAAAATGTGATTATCATTTTAGTCTGAATCCAATCTTGCCCACTTGCTATCAGAAGCAACAGAGATAAGTAAATTGCCCAAGACCATGCAGCCAGGAAATGGCAGGATTCAAAATGTACTAGTCTTACTTGAGAACCCTCTGTCTTTTCCACTCTTGTGTTGAACAAGATAATACTGGGAAAGGCTTAGCCTAACCTGGCATACATAGTGTAATCACTGGTTAAAGGATAGTTTGATTTCTTCTCCTATCACCCCCTCACCATTGAAGGGTCCTAGTGCCAAGGTGGGAATAAAAGATTTTCGGTGTTGGAAACCTGAGTCCTTGGGGCCAGTAATTGGGTCACAAATGTGCACCTTCTTGTCCCTACTTAAAAAAAATCATATCCACTCCCCTTGCTTGAAATTTGGATGGAGGACCTTAGAGGCCTGGCCCAGGTACATTGGGACCACTAGAACAGACCAAGGTGGCATGCAGTACAGAGTTAGGGTCGGGGTGAGAGGGCAGGCATAGCTAAGGTTCCGGGACATCCCCAGCTGCGCAGAATAAGTTTGAACTTGCAGAGGTTCAGCTCTTTGCCTTGGCAGCACTTTCAGAATTGTCCATTACTTTTCTGCCCTACAGCAGGCCCCATCATGTTCTGAGTTTTTAGTGTCTAGCACCAAGCATGACCAAGGGTAAAAATCCAGGAAATGGGAAGTCTGGCTAAGCCCCATGAGCTTGTCAGTTCTGACTTGGGCACCTCCTTGAGAAGTCTCTTCTTCCCTGACACACTGTTTCTATGCCATCCACCATGAATCCCAACATGCTGTGATGTTTTCTGAATTGTGGGCTTCAAAATATTTGCTGAGCCTGGCCAGTGTGGCTCAGTTGGCCGAGCATGGTCCTGTGCACCGAAAAGCTGCTGGTTTGATTCCCATTCCGGGCACGTACCCAAGGTTGTGAGATCAACCCCTTGTCAGGTTGCATATGCCTTTCTGATATTCCCGTTTAGGTGCTCCTCTTCTCCATGGTCACTGCACCTAAGTGGACCTCTGTCTCTAGATCTAATGGTTCCTGGACTACAGGAACCAGTCCTGATTCGTCTCACTGTGGCATCACCTGGCAGTACTTGGTGTCAGACTAGGCCAGTGATGGCAAACCTATGACACTCATTTTTTTGGTTGATTTTTCTTTGTTAAATGGCATTTAAATATATAAAATAAACATCAAAAAATAAATCTTTGTTTTACTATGGTTGCAAATATCAAAACATTTCTATATGTGACACGGCACCAGAGTTAAGTTAGGGTTTTTCAAAATTCTGACACGCCGAGCTCAAAAGGTTCGCCATCACTGGACTAGGCACAGGCAACATCTGTAGAAGGCATCATATTTTAGTGAAGAGATGTACCTCTGGAGTAGACAGATCCTGGTTGGGATCCCAGATCTGCCACTTGAAAGTTCACTGGAGAGCTTGGGTAAATTCCTTTCTATTAGTTTGCTGATCAGACAAATGGCTGGCTGAGAAGCTCAGAAATGAGGTTTTGAACTACCTGTTTGAGTTGTCAGGATAGCCATTATGCCCTCAATCCAAGGGGAGAGGGAAGAACAGGCCTTTTTTTTTTTTTAAATATATTTTATTGAGTTTTTACAGAGAGGAAGGGAGAGAGATAGAGAGTTAGAAACATCGATGAGAGAGAAACATCGATCAGCTGCCTCCTGCACATCTCCTACTGGGGATGTGCCCGCAACCCAGGTACATGCCCTTGACCGGAATCGAACCTGGGACCCTTCAGTCCGCAGGCCGATGCTCTATCCACTGAGCCAAACCGGTTTCGGCAAGAACAGGCCTTTTAATACTTGGTATCTGGTACCTGAGTTCTGTAAGGAGGAGGCAAAGTT